ACTAAACCGGACTGACAAATTAGGATATGCATATTTTATCCAATCACCCTTTTCATCTTTCTTTACGACAGCTCCAAAAATGTGGTAGTTATTATCAATAAGTGAACCAGGGAATCTAATTACGAAAATTTCCTGGTCATCCTTCTGGAATAATTCTTCTCCATTAAAAACAATTTGATATTGGCTAAAAGTATTATCAATAATAGTGCTTGTTTTTCGCAGAATCTTGTATAATGGCGTCCAGTCTTCAGAAGAAACAACGCTCCAATTACTACTCCAATTTAGATCTTTCTCGGACGCTTTTTCATTAGTTAGACTCAGGAAATTATCAAGCCAAGTGCTAATTTTATCACGGTAAACAATACCACCAGTATCACTAATAAAAAATGAAGTGTCCACTTTAAATTGCTCACTCCACTCTTTTAGATGTGCTTCAATTTTTTCAATTATATTGGGATCTTCTATATCATATTCATGTTGAAATGTTCTTGGTAAAGTTCTTGTAGTATAAGATTCACATTTTTTCGATAAAACTCCGCCTACAGTTAAAGCTCTTGGCAATAAATGTCCATAGTCGTCACCAAATATTTTGCAAAGATTTTTATATGGCTCATTGCTTTGCAGTGCTGTGTTAACACTATTTGAAAATATCTGTAAGGATTTAATATCCCCAAGATTAAAGGAAAGTTTTGCCATATTGACAATTATTTGGCAGTAAATGGCTCGAGATGGTTGATTTTTAGCAGACTTGAAATCCTCTAAAGGACGGCCTAGCATTGAACTTGAACTATGCTCAGCGAAAGGGATATTATCAAGATCTAAACTGCCATCATCTTTTATGCCATTCTCTAATAAATATGCTTCTTGACGATTTTTGGGTTGTGCTAATAAAAGAGTGATTGTTTTGATCTCAGCAGTGTGAGGCACTCTTAAAAACTTAAAGGCCGCCTTTTTTCCATGCCCATGTTTTGATTCGTGTAGAATTACACCATATTGGAGTGAATTATTGTGAAACCAGTCCCATAAAAATAATTCAAGTTTTGGTCTTAATGCTATCCATTTTACAAATTCTTTTCTTTCACATTTTTCTTGAAGGTTAGGAACTAATTCGCCTTCGGGTGCCTCAAAAGGTTTAGTGCCAGTTACAGAAAATAATTTTTGTTGTAAATCATCTGGTAGCAATTTGTAAGATGGGATTAACTTTCCGTAAGATATAACTTTGGCAAATTCAAGATCATATATTCTCGTAAACCAGTTGTATAAGTCGCCAAGGGTGTCCATTTCGCCGTCAGCTTCAAGTGGAGGTATTTTATCAAGTGGTACATCTTCAAAAATTTCAGAAGTTTGCCCTTTTCCACAATCAATCCCCCATTTTATATAGTTCTTTAAATATGTCTTACTTTCATCAGATACGTTTAACCAATTTCTGATTGTGATAATACCTCCAAGTGTGAATTTCGTGACAACGTAATTGCCATAATAATTAAAGTGATTCTCTAGAGTCTTTTTACTTTCAAGTTCGTTCGAAATTTTAAGCGCACTCTCGATATCTTTAACAAAACTATCAGATACGTCAGCCGTATATTCGACCGTTGAAACTGGAACATGGATTTGTAAATCTTTATTATCCATTTTCTCCACGTTAATACTTTCAAATAAACTTGTGGTTCTTAAGTTATCCCAAACTGTGTCCGCAGATTCTGGAATGTAGACAATAGGTGAATCTGCACTCAATTTACGAAGTATTGTTTTGCCGTCATCACGCAAAATAATTCCTTTCGTGCGATTGAAATCAAATCCTTGAATATTTCTGCCTCGGTTTAAGGCAAAATCGTTAACAAATTCTGCTTCTAACCTCCTTAATTCTGCATCTAACCTTTTTTG